TCTGGTTCAAACTGCATCCACCAAACAATATGATTTATCTCGACCTCCCCACAATAACCAAAATCTGACACGGTGTGAGATGTCTTTTTTAGCTGTTCTATCGTAATTTCCTGCGATCTTCTTCATGCAGTCAGTCAAAATGAATGAATGAATGGGCGTTTCTTTGACTATGTATAGGCAAATATGGGCGTTACGAGTCGATTGTGATTTATCAAGGGAAACAGGCGTAGGGAGTGCCGTACGCACTTCCCTCGCCGGTACGCAACGTTTTGTGAATCGGAAAATGGCGGAAAATGTATGTACCTATTTTTGTGCTTTGTACTACGTAAGCAACCATCCTACGTCAATCCTACGCAAGGCGTTATAAATGAGGCCCCTGAGCTGTAGTTATCTCTCTCAGTCTGACAGCAGAGGACTCTCCCTTGAAACAGCTCCTTATTTGTTAGAGCAGCTAGCTAACCAGATGCTAACAACAAAAATACAAGTAACCGGTGCGCGCTCTCTCTCTCTGTCGCTCGCTCGTGCCACACATACACACACCCTCCCGAGTTTGAATGACACACAGAGACCAATCGAGGGCTTTGATTTATGATCGGTATGGAAGTGGCCATGTCGGCAGGCCACATCATGTAGACAGACAGTCACCCTGTGTGAGGCAGACCCACATTTGCGCAGCGTTGCGTTCACAATACATAACAACAACAACAAAAATTCGCCAGGCCAGGCCAGGCCATCGGGAAACCTCCCGGTCCTCCCGATGGCCAGTCTGGGCCTGTAAACAAGACACTCCCTCAGCAAACCGGATGCAGAAAAACTGGTCAATGCTTTCATCACCTCCCGCATAGACCAGTGCAATTCTCTGCTTGCAGGCATTCCAACAAAATCCAGCCAGAGACTGCTTTATGTTCAGAACAGTGCCGCCCGGATTCTCACTAAAACACGCAAATCAGAGCACATCCTATAACAGCCACACTGACCCCACTTACCTCCAGGAACTGCTCACCAAACAACATTTACAGACATCAGGCACAGGTCTGGCAGCTCCATCTCTTTGCTGTTCCATTGACAAAACTGTCCATCATGGGAGACTGTGCTCTCTCCTACCTGGGTCCACCTCTGTGGAATCAGCTCCCAGAGGATTTCTGCATCATTCTTGGTTTTCAAGAAAAGCCTTAAAGGCCCTGACACACCGAGCCGATATCGGCCGTCGATAAATGTCTGGCCGCCGATGCGTCCTGTCGCCCTACTCAGATTGGTGTGTCCCGCACCGTTGTGTCTTTTCGGCCGTGCCGACACCTTCCGCCGCCGATTCAACATGTTGAATCGGGAGGCTGTCAGCAAAAGAAATCACTCTGATTGGCTGTTCAGCTTAGCGAATCAGTGCATGAGAAGCGAAACGGAAGTGAAGAAGGCACACACAGACGGCTATTCTTTTTAATTTTCCAGTACCGCACTCAACATGTTTTCGATTATAAGTCGTTATGTGAAACAGTCTGTGATGGTTGAGAGTGAAAATGGAACGCACGCTATTTGTTGTTTGTATATATCACGCAGTCTGTCTTCCGGTTGCCTCTTTTGAATGACGAATACACTAGGGATGTTAAGATTCACAGATTTGCATCGGTGCACCGGCATAAATGTTCAAGATGCGAGTGCACCGGTTGAAAGAGTGCACATCGGCTACAGTTTGGGTTGAACTCGTGATGCATCGATTGTAGCGTCTTTTCATCGGTAAAAAAAAGATTCATTCATATAATATCCCCTCATCCTGTCAGCACTCAGCAGAGACGATCTTTGATATTTGCTTCGCACTACGGAGGCCGAGAGTCTCAGTTATCAACAAACATGGAAGTCAAGGAGAAAGAGAAACACAGCGCACGAACAAATACCTACAAATCAAACGTTTGGCAACCCTTCGGATTTTTCAAGAAAGACGGTCAACTTGAAAAATCGCTCGCAAATTGTAAACGATGCCGTGCCGCTTTAAAGTACACAAGTAGTACGAGGAACTTATACCTCATTCACACCAACGCAACTCCGGTTCAAGCTCCGTGCTGGAGCTTTTCAGGTTCAGAACCGGTTCTTCGGTTTAGCTCCGGCTCTTTTCATACCGCCCAGAGTCCGACTGGTGCTGCGTCATTGCGTCATCGTTTGCGTCATGACGTAACCGTTTGCGTGCCTGCTTCATAAAGCCAAACCGCGCGGAAACCCCTCACAGCTCACACCGACAACAACAACAATGGCCGATTGTGTTGAAGCGCTACTCGTTTTGGTTTTCTGCAATTGTTGGAGAATTGCTTTGGACCGCGTGCTCCCCTCCAGCTTCCTATGTACCTCTTCGGAAGACCAGATTCCCAGTAGGTAGCTGGTCTCTTCAGTGGACCACTGCTGCTTGTTAAGTTTCTCCATCGTTGTGTACAAACTGGATAAAACGCGGGCTTTTTGTTGTTGTTCTGGAGTTGACCCCGCCCCTGCCCCTGCCCCCGCCTCGACGTAAGCGTGACGTATGCGGTGCTTTTGCTCTAGCCGGACAATTCTTTAGTGCTTGAAACGAACCGGATTCCGGAGCTAAGAGGCTGCTCCGCTGCGGGGGGGAACAGGAAAACCCGGTGCTTTTCAAGCTCCAGCTCCGAACCGGCCCTGAAACACCGTTGGTGTGAATGAGGTATTAGCGACGCACATAAAGAGGCGACATGGGGTCTGCGGCTGAAAAGAAAAACCTGAAAGTTAGACATATGAGTTAAATCACTCAGTGAGGTGTTATGTCAGAGAGAGTGGTGTTTAGTTTACAACAGCCTGTGACTGCCAATAATAGTTTAAATGTCTTCCTTACAATTGTAAGCAGTTATGAAATACCTGTCTGTGAAAGGTTATTTGTATTCTTTATTGTTCATATAGAAACCACACCACTGCTTTCTGCTCACTGGTGAGTTAGCCTATGAATGAGTGTTAAGCACATCAGGCTGGCAGTTGTATGGGCATTGCACTATGGTAGTTGTTATTTGCACATTGTTAATCATGGGCAATGCATCCTTAAATTGTTTAACTGTGAGGTGTTATACAATTGTACTGTACTCTGGAGAGTAAGGTAAAAAAGGTAAAAAAGAAACAGCATGATGGGATGTGCAGTACTAGTAGAGAGAACCAAATATGTAAAGCACTTTTTTGTTAATTTATGATTTGCTGCATATAAGGAATAAAACAAAAATCCTCTGTCGTACCATATTGAAGTATCATTATTTTGCATCGTGTTGAATCGCATCGTATTGCCCCGTATCGCATAATGTTGAATCAATTCGTATCGAACTGTATCGCAACAGGGGTGAATCGTATCATATCGCATCGCCTGGTGTTTCAAATGTATCGTTAATGTATCGTATCGTTGGCAACGTATCGAGATGCGCATCGCATCGGCCTCAGTGATGGAGATGCACATCCCTAGAATACACACTACCGCCGCTTGCTGGTAAGGAGAGTTATTGCCACTCACGCATGCGTATTTCGTACGTGCTACTTGGCCGTCGGCTGAAGTCTTAGCGCTGTGTTCCAGTGCGACTGTTGGCCAAGACGCAGGAGACGTGAGGCGGCACAACAATCGTGTTCCGTCGGGACGTGTTCTTTGGTGTCAGTTTGGTGTGTCAGGGCCTTAACTTGTTATGCTCTTAAACAAATACATAGCTGTTTCGACGATACTCTCTTGATCCATTGTCACCTTGCCAAATGTTACAGTCAGCAAACGTTCGCTCATGTATATCGGTAAATACGTGAGTAAACTGACCTTAAACCACACAGCTCTGAACTCAACACTGCTGTTAGGAAAATCTTATCTGACCCGCATATTTCCATATCATGTGCAAATGTAATATTTGAAAGTGATTTCTTGTGTTTTACAGTTCTTCTCCCTCTTCAACTTCTTCTTCTTCTTCTTCTTCTTCTTCTTCTTCTTCTTCTTCTTCTTCTTCTTCTTCTTCTTCTTCTTCTTCTTCTTCTTCTTCTTCTTCTTCTTCTTCTTCTTCTTCTTCTTCTTCTTCTTCTTCTTCTACTTATTATTTCATTATAATGATTATTATTTATAGTATTACAGTTTTCATAATAATAGTCATAATTATACAAGTCTTCTTGTATATCTTATTCTTCAAACAGAGTCAGACATGTTTATAATGTCTTATTATTTTAATTTTTGGGGGGTGTGTCAGGGGTCATTACAAAATTATATTTATATTTACTGATACATTCAAGCTTCTCCTTTATTCAGAAACACAGATACAGTACACAGAGTGTATTGTAAATACTTAAAATACAGAATACTTAAAAAGTAACAATTATACGATGTTTAATGTTATAATTGTCCAAAATCTTCTTTTATCATTACATGCACAGAATACAAATCTGAAATGTACTAAATATAATTATTTTGTTTGTTATTTTTTCAACCTGGCTTTATTATTAGACATTTCAATTACGGCGTGTAATTCATCCAGATTTAATAAATATTATTTGTTTAGTTTTTTTTAATTAAAATGTACAATTGGTACATTTGGTGACTCATAACATAAGCCTGTGTAGAATCAGGAAATAATAGAAATGAAAAAAAAAAAATGTGTATAATATTTTATAACATCTTCTTTACTTTTATTATTTCATGTCTGTTTCTTTTTACCACTGTACACTGTACATGTCCCCGCTGTGAGAATAATAATAATAATAAAGGATTTCTGATTCCGATTCTGATAATACTGTAATATATTTTTTATACATTCTTAATATTTTCTTGGTGTACCTTGATTATTTCAATGCTAACTATGTACATGTATACATGTTTTGTAAGTATACACCTAAATGTGTGTGTGCGTGTGTTCCGTGGATATCCTTGTGAATCAACACTTGTACTGACCGTGAGCCCTGTTCCCATTGGCTGGAATAGTAGGGGCTGGGGGCTGGGGGTGTGAGGGTGGCAAGATAAAAGGAGCAAATGTCTCTCGTCCTGCTTACACACACAGACACACTCACCCTGTGCCTGCCTGTCTGTCCGTCTGATTGTCGAGGCTAAAGAAGAGGAGAGGCTCCACCACCTGAAGCTTTCACTTGAAAATGTAAGTACGCTCACACACACACACACACACACACACACACACACACACACACACACACACACACACACACACACACACACACACACACACACACACACACACACACACACACACACACACACACACACACACACACACACACACACACACACACACACACACACACACACACACACACACACACACACACATGCAAACATGTGTAATCCTATTTGAGATAATGCTGAGGATAAGGGCTCTGCTTCTTAACAAGGGAGAGAGACATGCAGGGTAAAACACTTGTTGAACAACATGCCCTGGTGTAGGAAAAGGGGCAATGTTCACATGTTGGGACATTTGAATAAGCACCGCTAATCATTTGAAAAGAAATATGTTCAAAGCGTTTTTCTACAATAAAATTAACTTAGTGTTGTCGTACTGCAACAGGATTTTTCTTCAATACAATGTATAGCATGCTTTTTTCGTTTGCAGTTGACAAAAAAGCTTAGAGTAATTATATTTTCCGTTGGTCATTATGTTCATGTGATGTGATCTTGATAAGACTATTAACCGGGTTTACTGTATGTGACTGTACTTTGGCCCATTGTGTTATATGAGAATGAGTTTATAACAGTCAATAAACTATACATTTGAGAAAATGTATTTTTTCATGCCAATCTGTTCTGTTCGCATACATCAATAAATTGAAAGAAAACTGAGGGATTATCACACTGGCTTAATGTGTCGGTAAGAGGGTCAATGGTTCATCCATTCATTTATATTGTGCAAGGCTTAGGGTGTGTGTGTGTGTGTGTGTGTGTGTGTGTGTGTGTGTGTGTGTGTGTGTGTGTGTGTGTGTGTGTGTGTGTGTGTGTGTGTGTGTGTGTGTGTGTGTGTGTGTGTGTGTGTGTGTGTGTGTGCTGTAAATGAATACAACACTTAATTTAATTTATTAAGGCGCCGTTTACACGAGGAGAAAACTGCTTGTATCTGCATTGTTTCGCGTGCGTATAGCCCTATTATTTACACGAGGCCGATAGAAACTGACCCCACAAACGATAACGGGTCCCAAGGTGGATAGATTTGCAAACGAAACGCTCTGGGGGGTCAACCGAGTCTGTGTAATCACCTCTATACGAATATTTCCTGAAAAAATAACGATAGCCCCACCTCTCCTGCTCACTGCTGTAGCAACTATCAAAAATAGCTGTGTTAATTAAACGCACAAGGGGTTCTTGAATGAAATAATATTATAAAAGGCAAACCAGAATTGTTAACGCCCAATATACTCCTTAAACAAAATAAACAGAGTCAGATTTCATGCATTGATCCATTATATTGACAATTTTCCAGCCAAACAACACAAACAAAATTAAACAGTCCGCTCTGCGATACACCAAACTTGTCTTTACTGCCTAATCCAGGCCATTATTGTTCATTGCTCCTGCGCCCGTCGGCGGCAAAAAGAGAAATGTTTGTAGGCAGAGGACCGGCGTGTCCCAGAGGAGCGATCTCACCCGGTGTTTGTAGAGAATATCTCTCTTTCTGAGCGCGTCCTCTCCACGGAGACGTGCTTCTTGGTCGGTCGATGCAATATCCACAGGTTCGGTTTCTTTCAGTTAACTTCCCCGTTGCATTTATCCATATGCTGAGGAAATTACTATATCCCGCTGAATACCAGCAATCGCCACACACACTTCCTCCTGTCAGTAGCTACTGCTAGTGCTACTGCTACTGACCATGCTACAGATATTAGTGCAAAATCTACAGCTCCTCTACCACAACCATCAGCAACAAGTGGACATGGAGAATTACATGAACTACATGTTGCTAAATACACCGCGGGGCATAAACAGAAGGGTAGCCATGGCAACATTGCTGCGGGGCTGCTCCGGGCTGCTCTTCTTCGCTGCTATTGGTGTATTTTGGCGGAAGTTACAGCGCCACTTACAGTCCCGGCATATGTACTACAGCGTTTCCAGCGGTCTCGTTTGAACAGACATGTTAAATGAAACGAATGCATGTGAACGGAAGACTTTTTTGAATATGCATACTGTGCATAAACGCAAACGTTCCCGTGTGAAGGAGGCCTAAGAGTGAGAACAAAGCATTGTAAATGTGTCGTAAAAGAGAAAGGGGATCATATGAGGCATTAAAGTTAATAATTAAAAAACAGTTTTGGAAATAGCAACCAACAACATTGTTATTTTGTTCTACTTGAATGAACAGTTTTCCTTTCAGTTTGAACTTGTATTGCGCTCTTCTAATTGTTAAGGAATAATTCTTCTAGATATCTAACCACTCACTTGAAAAAAAACTGTGAATTAGGACCCGCTAGCCGGTACTAGGCCAAGTGGAAACGCAACCAAAGACGGGCCGCTGACGTCACAGCTCTCTTAAACGGGGCTCCGCGCTGTAGTGGAAACACGCCATTATTTTAGCCTGGTCGGCTAAAATGATTGGTCGTACTTTTTACAGTATTACGGCTTCCACAGATGACATTTTTGTATGGATTTTTTGTCAAAGCACTTAAGATATTCATTGCTATCGGGATGTTAAGAGCATTCCATGGAATATAACAAAAAGTGTATCTCGAGCCGGTTTCTCAAACTTACCTACCCTATCTTTAATGTATGATGCATATGTCATGTGTTTGAGCTGCCAGTTTTTCTGTATGATTTGAAATTGGTGGCTCAACAATCCAATTGAAACTGCTTACTATTAGACTCAGGGCCAGGTCTCCAACACGTCGATCACGAGCTACCGGTAGCTCGCGGGCAACTTTTCAGTAGCTCGCCGCTCGCGGTTCACAGACTGTGTAGATGAAATCCGACGACAATAAATGCACGCACCTGAATCAGTCCGTGTCGCTGCGGCTCAGACACACATGGATTTATGTTTTAAAAAATACTCGCGTTAGCACCATGTCAGGTTTGTGGTGGATTTGCATCTTGGATTGCATAGTATGAATGTCCTCTTGCTATTTTCAGTTGATAAATACGTGTGTAAACTAAAGTTTGTGAAGGCAGGAGGAAAAAGCTTCCGCGATCACGGTCTCCTCTGTGTTCCTTCAAACCCCGCCCCCTCCCTAAAAATAATGAGTGACAGGCTGGTAGTAACCTGATAGAAACGTTATTATTCACTTAATCACTGATTGAGATATGATGAAGCTAACTTAATGTCATACATTCATGGGATTTATGTAACAGTAAAACAGAGAATAAGTGTGCACCCACATGCAGTATTTTAGTTTTGATATGCTAGCCTGTTGTAACTACTCCTGTTGTCTGCTGTGTTCAGACTCAAGTCATGTTTGTGATGCCACATTCAGGACATTCAGTGTCCTTTTTTTTTAACAGAAGACCGTTGCTAGAAGTATTGTTTTTTTGTTTTTGAGGATGGAACAATTTCACACACAGATATAGGGAGGCTAGACCAGGGGCGTCGCCTGGACCTGAAAACATTCGGGGCTTAGCCCACAGTGGCGGCGGCACGACAGTGGCATTTTTTACTGCAACACTCCGCACACGCACATACATAGTACACCCGCGACTGTTACAATGAAGGCTCGATAATCAGCTCACGGCATATAGGCAGGGGTAAAGTGGTATTTTTTATGAGTGGGGGACCTCACCTCCTCTAGAGGGGTCCGGGGGGATGCTCCCCCGGGAAGATTTTTTTTTAAATATTGAAGTTAAAAGCATCAATCTGGTGCACTTTGAGAGCAAAATGAAGAGATCTATGGATACCTCTCTCAACACCCATATGAAGCAGAACTGTAAACAGATGTACTTTTTCTTTATGGATATTTTACTAATCACTCCCCTTTTAAACTCTATTCTTGTTTTACTGCCATATAGTATTTCATAACTGTTTTTCCTTTATTCTCTTTTTTTTAATAACTATAATGATCATATGAAGGTGTGCCGCGGAAATAATATTTTGAATAATTTGTGACCAAACCGTTTGAGACCCACTGAGATAACTTAGACTAAAGTTATGTATCTAAACACTCAGAGAGTCCTTGAGCTCACCTGAGTCTCTCAGTCTGAGGAGAGGACTCTCCTCCAGCTTCTTGTGGAACAAACAGCTCCTTATGTCCGTTAGTGCAGCTAGCTAACCAGATGCTAACAACACGGTCCATGCTGACAGTCACCGGTCCCTCCCTCCCCCTCTCTCCCTCTCTCTCTCTATCACACTAATACCCCTTTCACACCAACGGTGTTTCAGGGCCGGTTCGGTGCTGGTGCTTGAAAAGCACCGGGTTTTCCTGTTCACACCGCAGCGGAGCAGCGTCATAGCTCCGGAATCCGGTTCGTTTCGAGCACCAAAAAGTTGTCCGTCTAGAAGCAAGAACCGCATACGTCACGCTTACGTCGGAGGGGGGCGAGATTAACCTGAGCTAACACTTAAGGCGAGTACGGCAAATAAAAGTTGTAACAAGCAGTAGTGCTGAGCAAAGTGACTAGAACGCAACCACACACTTGTTAAAAAAAACACACTTTATAAAGTCAGGCAACACTAACCAGGCTTCGTGTGATTCTGTTTATTTGTACCTTACTTTGACCATCCGTTCGGTGTTATTGATCATTGTGGAGAGCAGGCAGACGTTTTGTTGTTATTATAGCAGCTATCGGATGGAATCAATACATGGGCTGCACAGGTTGTCATGTCCGACTATCACAAGTAGAATCATAATGAAAAATACGTCGGTAAAAAGTGCCTGTAGAAAACTGCTTAGCAAGTAGTCAGTTTAGCTTCGGTTGCTATGCTAACATCACCCATGTTATACCAGAGAAACTTTCATAACAGCGTTGTGATGCCAAACAGCGTCAATTCAGACTGACACCAAACAGCGTCAATTCAGACTGACACACATTCACTTAAGGGGAACTGGGGATATGTATCAGCTGCTTGTGTGACAGTCAGACAGTGAATACTTTAGAGCCGTGTGAGCTAACCCGGAGCTAACGGGAGAATACACTCGTGGAAGAGCAGCCGGCCAGCACTGCAGCGGTCGGTAAATGCCGCTGAAACACATTAATAAACAATGAACCACGGCACTCTGGAGAAAAGTATAAGGTTGGAGAAGTCGTTATTTAATTTATTCTGGCTTCGTATGATTAAAAGCAACGCAGTCCCCGGCCCGTTGTTATTGTGAGGTGAGCTCCGGCGTTGGGGAGAAACTCAGCGACGTAAACTGTGACGTCATGACGCAGCAGCGGCAGCACCAGTCGGGCTCTGAGCGGTGTGAAAAGAGCCGGCGCTAAACCGAAGAACCGGTTCTGAACCAGAAAAGCTCTAGCACGGAGCTTGAACCGGAGTTGCGTTGGTGTGAAAGGGGCATTAATGCGCTATTGCCACACACACACACAGAGCCGAGCTTGAATGACACAAGCACACGTTTATTTCCATGCAACTCTCTGATTGGTCTGGTGTCATGCCTCTGTTGCATTCACTGAACACGGGAAATTACAGTGCTGCCGTCCTCTCTTGTGTCATGATGAGGTTCACGTAAAGCACGGTTAATGTATTATATTATTGAGGGAGAATTGTCCGGGGCTACAGAAAAAACATTCGGGGCTAAAGCCCCGGATGCCCAGGCCAGGCGACGCCACTGGGCTAGACCTATACAATTGATTTATTATGGTTTATAACTTAATGTCAAGACGAAGAAGAAGAAAAAGATGGCTGAACTGTTCAGTGTCAATCCTGTGAAGATGGAGATGGAGGTTATAAATCTCCAAAATCATGTTCAGCTTAAGTCTCAGCAAAACTCACAACATTTCTGGAGCCTTGTAGACCCAGAAAACTATAAGAACATTCACCAAGCAGCACTGAACATTTCTGCTTTATTTGGCTCTACCTTTGTGAAGCAGCTTTTTCTGACATGAATGTCATGAAATCTAAATACAGAACAAGACTGACTGATGAACATTGAAATGACTCTATTAGAGTGAACCTAAGTGGGTGCACTCCAGCATGCACCTCTATGGTGGACTCCATGCAGTGCCAGTCATCTCACTAACTGTAAAAAGGAGTGAATGCACTTATTTTACACATGTGCCATAAGATGCTTGTAAGGTGGTAATTAAGGTGATTAAGGTATTTACTATGTGGGCCATAATAAGAAGTGAACAAATTGTCCTTTTTGTTTCTTTTTCAAAGTAGCTCTCAGATAAAGAAAAGGTTGGAAACCCCTGACCATTCCCCCATAGACCATATACAGATTTGAAACTGTCATATGAATAAACAAATGTGTTTTTAAAATTCAAGTGTTTCACATATTTAAATGCAATATAATGTTACAACATGTTACAGATTTTACATGAAATGTGTCAATGTTGCTACACATTTTAAACGTAGCTGCACATTTCAGTGTAAGCAAGTATGACTTAATTTCCTTTAACCTCACTTGGCATTACAAAACTGGATAGATTTTACATCGATCCACTCATCCCTACAAGCAGTTGTGTAGAAATCAGGGCCGTCCCTGGCCAACACAAGGCCCCATGCAAAGTTATATGATGAGGCCCTCTGTTTCGCGAGCATCAACGGGGGACGGGGGACGGGGGATTAGTGGAGCCTCGCAGCTGCGAAACCGTGCCGCACCACACTAATTGCGCCACATAAGCACATAGTTGAGGCGCCCTCCCCAAGATGAGACCCCCTCCGCAAGGTGAGGCCCCACGCAGTCTGCATGATCGGCCTGTAGGGAGGGACGGCCCTGGTAGAAATGATTCAGATATTTAAGTAAAAATAATCTACAGTGTCAACATTATTTATTATAGTAAAAGTCCTTGGTTGCGTTCGAATACTCCAAAAAAACAGCTTCTAAGTTCTAACCCTATCGTCTATTCCTTGACCTCGGAGTGGAACGTCACAGGGTTAAGGGAGAGTGGATAGGAGAATTCAAAAGGACTTAGGAGAAGAGACTGCGGTACTTTAGAGAATCCGACTGCACTTTCACTATCCGACGTGTTTATGATGCGCCAGCGGAGGTCATAAATGTGCGCCTGCTGCGGTGGGGAAACTATGGAAACTACAGTTTTCTATACAGCGGACTACAACAGGGATGTTTAATAAGAACGAGGGACTACTGTAAACTCATCTAGAGACTCTGCACCGTGCTCTGATGCTGTTGTTTATGCTTTATGAACAGGGACAACAGAGAAACATATTCTTCATGACCAAAGTTGGAATTGAAATAAAAAAGGAAAGTGAAACTTATGCTCGTCACCCTCTCCCTCCGGTCCACATTAATACAAATGATCCCAATACGTATGATTGTGTGAACTATGAAAAGATCTTAAAATAAATACAAATGTATTTATTATAAACGTTAGTCCTTAACATCTATCAATGTGTCTATCACCATTCAAACATCTTTTTAAAAGTTGAACAAACCCCACACAGCTTAGTAAAGACTGTGAAATGTTGACTTTATTTGATCATTTCAGTCAAAACTAACGTTCACATTTCCCTTTTTGATTATAATACTGATGAACGTTCAAAACAAAGCACTTTGGCAACTTACCACATACGTTTTGAACCGTAACTTTCATGATATCATTTCTCGTTCATAATCGATTGTTTCCGTGAACGACCGGACATTCCCTCGGCTTAAATGCCGCGGCCGCAAGGCATTGTGGGGCAGCATTTTCTCCTCTCATGTCGGTTAGGGAGGTCCAGTGGTTCCTAAGCTAAAGGAGGTTATAAAGGAAGTTTGAAACCTCCTTTCCTTTCATTTTAGAGAATTCGAACGGCACTTATCATGGCTGCCACTGAGGGACTTCCGGGTCATTTCACTCCGTTAGGAAGGTTCCTAAGCTAAATGGACTATTCGACCGCAACCCTGGATTCAAAATCAAATGAAATTGCCCTCTGAAATGAAATGAAGATACTCATTACTCGTACAAAAAGTACACCTCAAAATTGTAAGTGTTTGAGAAGTTTTTTTGTACTATTTTCCAGTGTTACCATGGATACAGCAGAGTTCCGGCGCAGGGGGAAGGAGATGGTGGACTATGTGGCCGACTACCTGGACAACGTGGAGCAGCGACCGGTCTACCCAGATGTGGAACCAGGGTACCTCCGTTCTCTGATCCCCGCTGAGGCCCCTCTGGAGCCTGAGAAATATGATGATATAATGACAGACGTGGAGAGGGTCATAATGCCAGGGGTGAGATCATGCTTCTGTTGAATTGTTGATGCGCTCGATGGCGTTGGTGATAAACATATTCCCTTGTGCTTCTTCTGACTGTGTAGTTCAGATTAGCTCGTTTAGAAAAGTTATACTGGTATAGAGAAGACAGTTCTTTTATTGAATCATGACAACACATTTTGAGAATATATCAAGTAATCTGATTACAACATGTTTTTAGGTGTCCAAAGCTTTCTCTTGGACTCAGAATAGTGTGTCAATGTATTGGCTTTGGAGGAAGGCCATAAAGGAGGGGCTGGGATTTTAGATTAAAAAAAAAAGTGATACATTTCATGAAGTGCTATTTTTAGGATTAGCAGAACCAAAGTTGTTTTTTTTACCGTATTTTAAAATACGGCTTTATGAAGACATATTTAAAGGACATTCATACAGCAAACCAATCCATCTGGGGGGAATTTCTCCCAATACATTACATGTATTACTCTCATTGTGTCCTTGGTTTTCTAAACAAATGACTGGAACCAAAGAAAGGTAAAAATACGTTTTTCAAAAAATAATGACAATGACAAATGACAAACGAATGACTATCCAAGGTCTTGTTTTCAGATGAATTAAGTATTTGCATGTTTTTTTCCAGGTCACTCACTGGCACAGCCCATACTTCTATGCCTACTTTCCAGCTGCTTCCTCTTACCCTGCCATGTTGGCTGACATGCTGTCTACAGCTATTGGATGCATTGGATTTTCCTGGGTAAAAGACACTTTGCTGTGTCTTCGATTTACAATGTTATGAACATATGGAAACACAGAACATTTGAGAAAATATTTTTATATTTTGGGTTTGTTTTCCAGGCTGCCAGCCCAGCGTGTACAGAGCTGGAGACAGTGATGTTGGATTGGCTGGGCAAGATGCTGAACCTGCCTGAGGATTTTATCGCTGGGACAGAAGGCCAAGGAGGAGGAGTCATCCAGGTAAATGTTTTTTGTGTTTTTTATGCTTCCCTGCAAACATTTTCCCAGGCAGTCCAAGGAGTAAACCTACGTTTTATAATCTACCCTGGTTTGAGACAAGCCAAGTCAAAGGCTTAGTTTTATAGGCTTAAAAGAACCGTGACTCACAACTGAGCGCTGCTGAAATCATATTCACTAGGAATATTGGGTACTATTGATTGTTGCTTTTTCTCTCCCTGGTTCACTGACAATTGGCAGGAAATTGCCTTTTAATGTGTCATCAACAGGTAGACAGAGATGACGATGCTGGGATTGTTTCGTGTGGCAAAAGGCTAAGCGTTAGTTTAGTGTTCCATCGACAGAAGTGCAGTAGCAGCAGAGGATGCTATCTATATACAAGTGTGTGTGTGTGTGTGTGTGTGTGTGTGTGTGTGTGTGTGTGGTGTGTGTGTGTGTGTGTGTGTGGTGTGTGTGTGTGTGTGTGTGTGTGTGTGTGTGTGTGTGTGTGTGTGTGTGTGTGTGTGTGTGATGGTGTGTGTGTGTGTGTGTGTGTGTGTGTGTGTGTGTGTGGTGTGTGTGTGTGTGTGTGTGTGTGTGGGTGTGTGTGTGTGTGTGTGTGTGTGTGTGTGTGTGTGTGTTGTGTGGTGTGTGTTGTGTGTGTGTGTGGTTGTGTTGTGCGTGTGTGTGTGTGTGTGTGTGATGGTGAGTAGTGGAGCATGAGAGTGCACTCTGATGACAGATCATTTCATGCCTCTTCTATTGTGACCACCTGTGTGTGAGTGTGTGTGTGTATCTTGCCACTCTCCCTTTTTAAGTGCAGCCTACAAGCTCACTATGGCAACCAATGGGGCTCTTCTCCCCGCAGCAGGGCTAATGAGGGTTGTGACAGCACATTGTCAGCCTATTATTATAAACCTTATGCCAACACAAAGGGGAACGGGGATTGTTTCAAAAAGACCCTCGTGACCTTAGATCTTCCTTTCTATGACTGTGTGAGTCATTAGATCTGACGGCAAAAAAAAAAACAGTTTTCCTATGATTAAAATAAATTGCAAATGACAAAAGAGTATGGAGACTAATTGACAAAAATGCGCTACTTAAATATGTTAAAGACACAAACTTGCACTTTCTCTTTACATTTACTTTACGATCATGACATGTATACTTAAAAGCAGTGTTTATAATTTCAGCTGCAACAGGTTTCAATTATTTTGTGCTAAATAGTGTATTTGGTTATATTTGAAGCAGAACAGGCTCTAGTTCACTATTACAAGTGGTAGCTAGGAGGATGGATGAGAGCTGGTAGACTTTTGCAGAGGAAGGACATAAAGCCCAGTTGGGTATGTTTGGAATACTTGAGGTTATTTGCTTTTTGCATTTATAAAAATGTATTTTCTTTGGTCATTTCATTTGAGCTAGTGCCATGTTTACATCATTGCAGTGATGGATTTGTTTATTGATGTTTTGGGTCCCTGATGTCTAAAATTGGCTTAATTTTACTCTTCCTGTCTATTTGTTTAGACGTAAATGAAATAGCCTATATTGCCTTGTCTGGGGAGAGATTTGTGCTTATTGATTAAGTAATTGGAAAATGTAATGATGTTTTGTGGTAATGCCCCAGATACCTGAGAAGCCATGGCTCATTATGTTGCCTCAAACAATTGTCAGACTGGGTGATGACTCAAGACATTGTTTCTATCTACAATGATTTAATTATCTAATGAGGAAGTGGATGTGTCACCAGCTTCATATCAGTGGGAATATCCAACAGCACAAACTGTTTACTTAATGTCCTCCCTTGTGTTCATGAAGGTGTTTGCAAATGGTTTGGTATCTGTCAATTAACATCAGTGTATCTGCCAAATAAAATCTAGATAGGGATTGTTTACACCCTTCATTGGATCCTGCATCCTGAGTCCTGGATCCGGAGTCCTGGATCCAGGACTCCGGAAAGCTCTATCCTGAGTTCTGGAGTTGAGTCCTGGACTTCGAGTTGTGGCTGAACCTATCACTGCGGTCCTGCCTGACTCTCATCATACTACTTCCCTGATGGTTCCACAGGATTGTTGACATCCTCGTGGATTCATCTTCTAATTATAGACACATGCATTTCCAAACATTTGGTCTACCTATGCTGTCAAATGTATTATCTCTTCGATTTACACACGGCATCTATTGCACGTCTGTTCGTCCTGGGAGAGGGATCCCTCCTCTGTTGCTCTCCCTGAGGTTTCTCCCATTTCCCCCTTTAAACTGTGGGGTTTCTCTCTGGAAGTTTTTCCTTGTACGATGTGAGGGTCTAAGGACAGAGGGTGTCGTATTGTCATACTGATATTCTGTACAAACTGTGAAGTCCACTGAGACAAATGTAACATTTGTGATATTGGGCTATGTAAATAAACATTGATTGATTGATTCATTAATTCTGTTTAAAAGCAGAGATAGGTACACAATGCCTAGGATAGATGACTTTTCTGTAAGCATCAAAATCAACTCTTTTCCAAATATATATATTTTTAGAGATCTTGCAGAAAAAACAGGTGCTCTGGATTCCTTGAAGACTCCATGTATTTCATGCTTGCTTCTATAAAATGTAAAGATGCTTATCAATTTCCTTCTTATTCTCACAGGGCACAGCCAGTGAGGCCACCCTGGTGTCCATGCTCGCCGCCCGCTGTAAAGCAGTCCGCCGCATTCAGGTCTCCAACCCTGAGAAATCAGAGGCTGATATCCTCTCTAAACTGGTGGCTTACACTTCAGAGCAGGTAAGCACAAACAAATATTTACAATCTTACATATTTCCTGTTTAATGCACAGGCCAAGCGTACTTATACTTATACAGATTTCATATTTATTATATCCACAAGTGTAACAATCTTGACTTCTGTAGGGTCTTACTCAACATATTGTTCTTGTAAACTTCCATTATTAAAGGTCGGGAACAGTAAAAGAGATTTTCAGTGATTTAGCGAGACAGAGGGTCAAGGCAGTAGCTAACTCTGATCAGGTTTAATACCAGGCTGACTGTGATTGGGTTAGGGAGTCGCCTGAGGGCCACACAGACATTTACAGGGACAGCAGTTTGTGTTTCTACTGAAGAACACCATCCTTATATCCAGGTGTACATGTCTAATCTATGTGTGTATTTATTTCTGCATACGTGTTGTGAAGTTAAGATGGGTTTATCTTCTAAAAGCTGAAGGAGATTCATCTGGCGTACAGTGCATTTCTACAACATGTTTCAATTACTTCCTCCTTAGGCTCATTCTTCAGTGGAGCGTGCTTCTCTGATTGCTGGAGTGATGATGAAGAAGGTTCCTGCAGACAACAACTATGGTGTAGAAGGAGCCATGCTTAAGAGGATGCTGGAGCAGGACAAAGCAGATGGACTCATCCCTTTCTATGTAAGAAAATAAAACACTATTTATTCATCCCATTTGCACAGAACACATGGACATAAAATACATTTCAACATTAGATATGGGTGATTTTACCATTGAGATACACACATCTGTCAGTACATTGCTTTGCAAAACATGTAAATCTAACAAACACACACAACTGAGGGAAAAGCTGCAATGATACAAAGTGTGTGATGATGCTATGCACACCCTGAGGCTTCTGCTGTTTGTGGTGAACTTAATGTATGTCTATCAGGTTAAGGACAATAATCCCTGTCTCAGCTGGTCTCACCGATCACTATCAGTGAACAACAGTAGGCTGAAATGGTCCAGGAGCACTAAACCATCAAAGATATCCAGATTTAAATGAGGATATAAAAGGAATTAGATAAAAGTGATATTGCACAGTACCTGAAATAAGTGTGAATTTGTAATCTTTACATTTATATTATAGAGAGTGCCATTATTGTGACAGTAAAAATGAAAAAATGTTGTACCAATTCTTTTAATTGGTACAGGTAACAAAGCACTTCGGGACGTGAATGATTTGTACTGTATGTCTGTGTCTTTTTCAGTTCTGTGCGACCCTTGGCACCACGCCATCATGTGCTTTTGATCACACCACCGAGCTGGGGCCAATATGTGAGTCAAGCTCACACACACAATTTTCTTTTGTGTTCCAACAGGAAATGGATTGTAAGCTTTTGATTTAGTCAGTCAGTTTACCAAACATTCAGTATCTTCCTTCAGAATTCAGTACAAATGATATGCAACTCGTTTCCAAATATATATCTTGGAAATTCATGAATCATATTTTTTATATCTCAGGTTATTAAATCTTGATTGTCAAAAGTTGTTATTTTTAAAACCTTAATAGCCTCTCTGTTTTGTGTCTGTTCCAGGTAATGAAGAACAGATGTGGATGCACATTGATGCAGCATATGCAGGGAGTGCATTCATCTGTCCTGAATTTAGGCCTCTGTTGAATGGCATTGAGGTGAGTGGCATATAAAATATCAAAGCGTTCCTGTTCAATTAGTAATGATGTTTAGTTACTCAGTTTTGACATGGTTTAAATCTCGATCATTCCAATATGTGCAGAACAGACTTGATATCGTGTGGTCAACATTTGAAGTGTGCATCCACCTAAATACAAGCTGAAGGAGAAAACAGCCTATTTCTGTTCAATTAGTTGTAAAATATCTCTCATTCGATCTATAAAAGGCAACAATAACTGCATGCTGATTATATCCAGCTGCTTTATTTTTGTTTCAAAATGTCATAACGTTAATGTCAAGGAGGAAGCATGCAGTGAGTAATAGGCCGAACAATCGGCATTGGTGCAGGAGCATCAATCTGCCTTTTGAAGCTGCCGAGGAAGCTGTTGCTCCCCGAGCCGTGCAGAGACGCAGAGATAAGGACAGAGTAATTTCCTGAGGCAGCGTTAGACCTTTATATATCACTGTTTATTAGCCACACAAGTTCAAACAATGTTAGTGGGAAGACTCAGAAATCGACTTGACCGTAAAGACCAACTGTGGTTGCATCTAAAATTATCTATTGGAACACATTTCCCTCTTATACTTGCAATTTTACATTTTATTGGAATTAGTATTTAGGGTCCTTCTATGAGGAAGTGGTGAAGGGATTACTTATTAGAAAAGCCTACTAATTGTATCCGCATGCTGTTATATAAAGTATATTGTAGTTATAATGTAAACATTTGGAGCCAAAAAAGGTGAATTTGAATGATCCAATGAGAAGATGGTGTGTGTTTTAGGATGAGAGTGCAGCCCTGCTGGAGGGCTGGTTGCTAGGATATGACTGATGGGCGAGCAGGAAACCAGCCCCCTTTGAATCAGTCAGCATGGGCAACAGTCAGCCAGGAGTCTGCCTCACATTGTCTCTCCACGCTGAGTTATTGCATTTGTGGAGGTGGAGAAAAGGATATTACAAAAGATAGCCAACATAGAGATGAGAACAGATTGGGAAAGGTTTGTTTCTCTTTGAAGAAACGCTGCCAGGAAAGGGTTACTTTCCCTGCGCTCTGCAAGCTGTCGGCTGAGTGTTCCTCCTTTGCATTTCAAATATACTGAGGATGCTTTAGTCCCAGATAACGCTGTTGGTGAAAGGGTGTCACTGACTGCAGTCAGTAATGGGTAAATTAAGATGTAGTAAGATGTGTGTTTTGGTCAACACACATTTTTCAAGTTTAACTAAAGATACAG